TGGGGCTAATAAATGATGATAAATGCAATGTTACCTTAAGGAAATACGTGTAAGTGACGGTAAATATATGTTGGTAAATATATCTATAAATAATGGTAAATGTATATGATGCAACTAGGAAATGTGTGTAAATGATGATAAATATATTGGCGTGATAAGGAATTGTGGATAATTAAGGATAAATGTGTGATGATAACGAAGTGTATAATTAATTATAAATGTATGTGATGATAAGGAAATGCATAAATAACAGATATATATGATGTGATACGGAAATTTAAATGATTATAAATGCTTATAACGTTAAGGATATGCATGTAAATTGTGATAAATGTATAAACAGAGAAATGAGTGTGAGTTATTATAATTGTACATAATGCGATAAGGAAATGCATATAAATGATGATAATTGCAAATAATGACAAGAAAATACATGCAACTGATGATAAATACATATAATAAGGAAAATACACGTAGATAATAAATCTACATAATAATCAAAGAAACACACTTAAGTGGCGAAAGACAGACGAAATCAAACACACAAAAAAAAAAAAAGAAAAACACATAAAACCTAAAAAAAAAAAAAAAAAAAAAAAAAAAAAAAAAAATCCTATAATCCAGACAAGACAGACCTACCCTCTTATCCAATAGACACGAACACTTTTTACCTTCTCGTTAATCCTTTCGGACGTGTGGGTCAAAATGGCGCCCAGCTGTTGGATATTCGTGACCGTCTCTCTCTCGCAGGCGTCCATGCCGCTCGCCAGCCGGTCATGGCGGGACTGCAGCTGCTCCATGTGCTGGCTCAGGGATTCTCCGACGATTTTGACCTGTGGAGGAAGCAGCGCCATGAGGTATGTGGATAGATGGATGGATCAATAAATAGGTGAATAACGACAAACGCTTGTGGATAGATGGGTGGATTAATAAATAGGTGAATGGCAAACGCTGTGGACGCGTAATACGCCTAACGGGGTGAATAATAAATACGTGGGTGAATTAATAAAAAGTTATGAAAGTTTGTTTCACTAAATAGATCGATAAATAGGTGAATAATAAAACGCGTGATAAAAAATAAAAGTTTGTGTCACTAAATAGATCAATAAATAGGTGAATAACGAGAAACGTGTAATAAAAAGGTATAAAAGTTTGTTACTAAATAGATCAATAAACAGGTGAATAACGACAAACGCATAATAAAAAATAAAAGTTTGTGTCACTAAATAGATCAATAAACAGGTGAATAACGTCAAATGTAATAAAAAGGTATAAAAGTTCGTGTCACTAAGTAGATCAATAAATAGGTGAATAATAAACGCGTAATAAAAAGTTATAAATGTTTGTGTCACTAAATAGATCAATAAACAGGTGAATAACGAGAAACGCGTAATAAAAAGTTATAAAAGTTTGTACGACTTTTTCCTGGTTCAAAGACGTTCATATATTAACCTAAATTGACCGTGACCTAAAATGCCATCCATGACTTAGGAAAAGATAAAAGGAATTATATATTTTGTGTTGTTATTCCACGCTGGACTCCAAACATTCGAATTTTATTTCTTTTGTGCAGTTAGAATTAATTAAATTATAAACCCATTATCCAATCGTTATCTTTTGATAAAAGACAAAACCAAATCTCTTCACAATTCTCAAATACAAATATTTAAAAAAAAATCACCCACATTTTTTTAAAAAGAACAATTATAAAATCTAAGAAAAAACATAAATAAAAGAATAAAAAAAATAACCTACTCTTTAAAAAAGAACAATTATAAAATCTTAAAAAAAAATAAATAAAAGAATAAAAAATCACCCACATTCTTAAAAAAAGAACAATTATAAAATCTAAGAAAAGAGAAAAAAATATAAAAAAAATCGCCCACATTCTTTAAAAAAAAAATCATAACACCCCCCCTAAAAATATATATACATATATATATACACACTCCACCTCCACCAACCTCATTCGAAATCTTCATAAACTCCCTCTCGACCATGTTATCCATCTGGTTGACCTTCCTGGTGAGCTTCTTGACCTCCCGGGCCGCGTCGCCGTTCAGGTCCTGGGGCGGGCCGAGCGCGAATTCGTCCTCCGGGTTCTGCGTGATCAGGAGGTCGAGGCCCTGGGACAGCTTCGTGAGCATCAGTCGCTGCCGCTCGTCCGTCTGGGGAGGACGTGCGCGCGGCCGGAGAGGAGGAGGAGGAGGGCGGAGGGAGAGAAATGATGGAGGAATTGGGTGAATAAACGAGTAATAGGAATAATAATAATAATAGGAATGATAATAATAATAATAATTCATAATATTATTATTATCATTATTATAGTGATAATATGAATAACTGTAATGATGATAAAAATCATTACAATATTAATAATTAAGTAGATACACGAAGAAATTAGTAAATAGAAAGGTAGTCAGTTATCAAAGATATTCATGAATAAATAGGTGTTACATAAATGGACAATTAAATACATATATAGGTAAATAAGTAAACAAATAAATAATTCAAGTAATAATTCAGTTAAATGAATAAAAAACAAGAATTAAACCAAATAGCCAGATAAACATATAGGTTAATAAATCAATAAAAAAGAGAAAAAAGTAAACGAATTGGTACAAAGCTATATAGGTAAATAGGTAGTTTCACTGATAGATAGATAGACACATATTGACAGATTGAAAGATTTACTTTGATTGATTGACAGGTAGACTGACTGATTGAAAGATTAACTTTGATAAGTCGGTTAGTTGTTGACCGATATGTAAGTAGGTAAGTAGAAAAGGTAAGTTAGGTAAGGTGGGTAGGTAAGCAAGTTAAGTTATGCAAGTTGGTAGATTTTTTTCTTCTGACGAATGTAAGAGAATTTCGATGATTATAAGTAAATAAGGACAAAGGGGCATAATGAATAAATATTCGTAAGTGCAAATAGGAAAGTTTCACCGAATATAAGTACCGACGTATTGCTGTTCCGTGCAAAACGATCGTATGTATGTATACGTTAAGTAATTAATGAAATAGTAACAATGATGATGATGGTGAGGAGGATTGTCATGATAAAATTATAGTAATAATATAATAGTGATGATAATGGTAGTAATAATGATAATGGTAATAATAATAATAATAATAATAATAATAATAATAATAATAATAATAATATCATTCATAATAATAATAAAAATTATAGGAATGATGATAATGATAATGATAATAATAATAATAATAATAACAATAACAGCAATAAATATTATTATTGTTGTTATTATCATTATCATAGTGATAATATGAATAACTGTAATGATGATAAAACAATTACAATAACATTAATCATGATTCTAGTGATTCTACTTACAAAGTATACTTCACCTCAGTATAAACACCAAATTACCGAACAAAAAATCCATTATATTTTCTTTGAATTACCTAGTGAATAGATTAAAAATAAACAACCTGATATAACGTAGGTGATTGGCAGTTCTAGTTAGATGAATGGCTTGTTAAGTGGCTTTATAAATAATAAATGTTATAAATAATAAATGGTTGGTGAATTACTTAGGTGAAAGCCTTAATAGATGTTAGGTTAATCAGTTGCATTGATGAATGTTGTGAGCGTGTAATTTCAGGTGACTATGTTGTAAAGTCAGAAAATATAAATATACTATTGCTTGTTCAAGATGTGTTATCTTATGCAGTTCCCAGAAATTTATTGAAATATATTTCGGTGATACATTTTCTTAGACGTATCTCATCCATTGCCGAACTTTGACATTCTAAATTTACACACATAAGCACATGCAAATATCCATTCTTCCTTTCTTTAGCTTTTTTCATCATCATCATTATCATTTTCTTCTTCGTTATTTCCTGAATTAAAAGTTTCGACGTATAAGACTTCTATTCTTACATTTCTTCCGTTCACATGTACCATATTAGAATGCAATAGTTTTCTGTCTGTCGTCTTTTGTCATAAAGGATCTAATGTTATAAAGAGGAAATGCGTGACTGTCTTTTGTTTGTATAGATAAACGAAGCCTTAACAGGGGTGACTAATCTATAAATTCATTAAGCACATTGGTAACATTATCAGCTGCCTCCAAAGCGCTGTAAACAAAGGATGGCGCATTTATTTATTATATCATTATTGTCATCGTTGTTAGTGCTGATGTTTTTGTTATTGCTTTTGTTGTTGTTATTGATGTTGTTGTTATTGCTGCTGTTGTTGTTATTGATGTTATTGCTGTTGTTGTTATTGTTGTTGTTGTAGCTGTTGTTACTGTTGCTAAGGCCCTATGCCATGAATAAAATTAATACCTTGAATAACTAAATTATATTCATGTCTGTATGAAGGTAAATTTTAAAGTTATAACAGGAAACTTATTATTCAGAGTAATCTTAGTTTCTTTACTGAACTAAATAATAAACAAGATATACAATATAAAACAAAACATCATTAGTGGCAAATATATCAATTATTCTATACAAATGACTGAGCTTATACCACTACATTATTCTATAAAATTCTATACAATTGCAATATATTACATTTAACCTACTCGACCATATGCAGCGTGCGTTCAACTGGATCAAAAGATAATGTATTATAAATTGTTTTCAATTCTTATCAGAGCTCTTACGTGCACTTCTTTATCACGTTTCCTCCCCCTCTCCTTTCGTCAACTCGTGAGCTCTGAACTACGCTGCCCCCCCCCCCTGTCCTATCCTATATCTTTGTCCTACCCCCATCCTACCCTGTATCTCTATCCTATCCCCGTGATGTCCTATCTCGCATCCTCATCCTACCCTGTACTCCTATCCTGTCCTAATGCCCTATGTCACGTCCCCATCACCCTACCCTTACCATCCTCTCACCCCATAACCCCAACCCTACCCTATGTTCGTATTATGCTCATCCTACCCTCGTCCCCCCACATCCTACCCCCCCCCCCCCCCCGGTCCTCCTACCCCCGCCCACACCCCAGCCGCAGCAGTCTCATGCTTACACCGTCAGATTACGTTCACCGCTAGGCCTGTACGGACCTCCGGCGTGTGTTCCTCCTCACCATGTCTCTGTGTAGTCCCGCTCGCCCTTACACACTATGGGCTTGGGTGTGTGTGTACGTGTGGGTTTTGGCATGCCCAGTTGATGCCCGTTTTACAGTGTGGTGGAATTCGCCTACGGAGATGTGTCAGCATTTCGGAATCTATATAAATGTTTCCCAATACGGGATCGTCCAAAACACTGGTGACAAATTCTACGGTGATAAGGTATTCCCATTATTGGTGACTATGATTTGCTGTTTTGCGTTTTAAGAGAGAGGGTTTCCTTTTTGGAATATGTTTTAATTTCAGTAGGTATTTCCCTCGTTGCTTTTATTTATTTGTGAAGGTTGTAACTATCACAGACCCGCCAACACTGACAAAGAAAATGAGTTACGTTTTCTTTCGAGTGAGAGCAGTAACTATACTATTTTGTATTGAGTTCAAAAAATTTATTGGTCTAAACATTTTGTAATGTCGTTATTTTCAGGTTTCTAAATAAAAAATATTATATACTTTATTTTACGATTATAGTTATTCAAATTTCGGAAATGAAGTGTAGTAACCTTGTTTGGGCTTAATCAAGTGATAATTAAAAATAATAGAATAAAATAAAAATCTACATTATTTTCCCACTTACAGTATGTCTATGCCATGTGTATCTGCATCATAAAACCACCAAAATATTGTTTTACTCGAAAATTCTTAGCACATACACATATATATCCTTTCTTCCAGTTACTTTCTCATCACCATCTTCATCAAGCGAATGAATTGTACCTTATTAATAGAGGCCACATCTCTTAATTATTTCCATTGACCTCATCTCCCAGGTCACCATTTTCTACGGCCCGGGAGTTTTTCCAGTGTTTAAGGGCAACACGACGGTCAATGGAGGAATTCCCCAGAAAGGCAATATTTCCCTACATGTTCGAACCTTCATGAAACAGGTCGAAAGCCAAATGAAGCCGGACTTTGAAGGTAAACGAACACTTCATGTTGATTTATTAATATTATTGTTTATTTATTATTCATTCTTGCATAGTTGAGTTTTATTTCAGATTAACATGAAACTGGGCTTTCGGTAAACAATAAACATAAAAAAATCTTTTTCTTTCTTATCGAGAGAAAGATTTTCTTGATCTGTTGGTAGTATTAATTTTTCAACTGCATACAGGTACGTGACGATAATAGACAAGGTTTAAATAAGTACTTATTTAGACCTTCAATCAGCTGATAATTGGCACATTCAATTAAAAAAAAACAATCATCAACCAATATATTTTCCCTTTACCAGAAAAAAACACTACCATGTAAATACCTAACTGAAAAAAAAACACAATGATTCAACCTAATGTATCATTCAGTTTATTAAATCCAATTCTTTATCAACACATCCAACTTATCTACCTATATCCCAATCATCAATTTAGTCTACCAAACACAGTCACAACAATGCTTAATTCTGCAATCCGCAACAGGAGCTGCCATCCTGGACTTCGAGACCTACTACCCGAACTATGAAATGAGTCCGGAGCAGTACCGCCACGCCTCCATCGAGTGGGTGACGGCGCTGCACCCTGATTGGTCGCCGCAGCTCATTGCCCAGACCGCCGAGAGGACCTTCAACGACTCTGCTCGGGAGTACTACCAGGTACAGGTTTTGTTGTTGTTGTTGTTGTTGGTAGTGGTGTTAGTACTGCTGCTGCTATTGCTGTCGCTACTACTACTACTATTGCTGTCGCTACTACTACTACTATTACTACTACTGCTGCTACTACTACTAGTACTACTAATACTATAACTACTTCTACTACTATCACTACTACTATTATTACTCCTACTTCTATTACTACTCCTGCTGCTGTTACTACTACTACTACTACTATTACTACTACTACTACTATTACTACTACTACTACTACTACTACTACTACTACTACTACTACTACTACTGACAATACTATCTACTTACTACTATTACTACTACTTATTATTATTACTACTACTACTACTATTATCTACTAACTATACTACTACTACTACTATTATTACTTTTACATCTATTACTACAATTACAATAACAGTTACTACTATTAACAATACTACTATTACTATTACTGCTGCTGGTACTACTGCTACTACTTTTACTTCTACCATTAACCACCACCATTATAATGATTATTATAATATTTATTGTTATTGTTATTGTTATTAGTGTCATCATCTTTAATTGATCTTTTAGTTACATACATTTTTTTCTTTCTCGTTTCTCCTTATGTGTCAATGAAAGAAAAACATACTTTTAGATCCCCATTTTTTTGTAGCGTTGTTGTTTATGATTCAATAACAGCCCTCCCCCCCCCCCTCTTTACAGCTGCTTCTGTGGGCCGGTCGAGAGCTCCGGCCAAAAGCTGAATGGGGTTATTACCATTATCCTTACTGCCATAACTACGGACCGGGAGTTGGTGACTGCAAACCCGCTGTAAGTAATGGTTTTTGTCTTTCGTGATGGTTGATAAATATGCGATTCTGTTATTTCGTGAGATATTGGTATTCTAATGAGTCTTGTATTAAGTGACTCGTAAGGGAGTAAAGTTATGGATCCCACTAAATGTATATGTTAATATTATTGGTAAAAGTAAGTCTCATGATAAGATTGAAATTAGAAATAAACTAAAAATCCTATTAAATTCAAATTCAATAACTCCTAATAATACAAACCTCAAAATCGCACTTAATTTGTACAACAAACAACCAAAATTACTAAATTTATCTAACAAAAGTAACCCATAATAAAACCACATTCTAGACCCCACAACCTTTATACATCAAAACTAACTCTCATTGTAAAAAATACAGTTTATTAACCCCACTAAATTTATACAACAAAACTAACTCTTAATGTAAAAGCTTCTCAACCCACAAAATTTATACATCAAACTCTTAGTATAAAAAAAAAGCTTATTAATCCCACTAAATTTATTCATCAAAACTCTCGTTGTAAAAGAAGAAAAAAAAAACATCAATCCCACAAAATGTATACATCAAACTCTTAGTAAAAAAAAAAAAAAAAAAAGCTTAACCCCACTAAATTTATTCATCAAAACTCTCATTGTAAAAGAAAGAAAAAAAATCCCACAAAATATATACATCAAAACTAACTCTCAGCACCGTAATACCTCGAATCTAACTCTCCTCATATCCCGACGCAGGTGATGAAGAGCAATGACGAAACCATGTGGCTCTTCGAAGGCAGCTCGGCCCTGTACCCCAGCATCTACATCTTCAAGAACAGTGGCTGGGACCCTCGAACCCGACGTCTCAATACCATGGGGCGTTTGGGTGAGGCAGTGAGGGTGAGGCGCAACTCGGGGAAAGATATGCCCATATACCCTTACTTCTGGTACAAGTAAGTGTGCTTTGTTCTGGTAGTTTTTGGTTGTTAGTGTAGGAGAATGGTCTTTACATAAGGAGTCGGGGGTTGGTGTTAGAGAGGTGGTTTTGGGAGGGATAGTTTGATTGTTAGAGATACAGGAATAGGGTCATTTGTATTGCACTGCACTGGTGTTTTTTGGACTTTGGACTACCAGGTCCTCTCTAGTATTATTTTATTTAATCCCTCGTCTCGTCTCTTCTACCAAATGTAAATTATGTTTAAGTAACTTTCATATACATCGTCACAATTATTAAGAGAATTTTCTGTTCAATCAGATTTTTTTTCCAGTTACCCCCTATGCAACCCCTTAAAAAAGTCCCTAGATTAAGGAACATTGTAATGGACAAAATAGGTGATTATCAAAGGAGCTGGAATTTGAGAACGTCCCACAAATTCTGGACGACTTGGGCGAAGTTGCAGGCTCAGGCATCTTAAAAAATTGCATATTAGTGCAACACGAAATCATGACCTTCATGTATAAAGGCCTACCAACTGACTAGCTAAAATTATCAGAATACTCTTGTGAATTATCGAACCAAAAGTTACGAGGTGCACATCGTTGGGACCAGCCTTAGGTGCAGAATAACAAGGCGCCGGCTTTGGAAATATAATACCGTCCCTATCATAATAATTCTTAATACGATAGTACTCAAGTGTTGAAAATGGCTAAAGAAGAATAAAATAAATACATTAAAGAAGATAGCCTGATAGAGACAATTCCTGGCCAAACGAAGCGATACGTTAAGAAATACACCAGACGCCAAAGTAAACAAACTACGATAGCCCGAAAAGCGTGGTTATTCGACACGGCGAAAGGTAAACAAACCCTTGACCTTCGCCAGTGTGAATGCCGTCTCAGTTTTGCTTTCATATTTCAGGAATTTTGTTTAAAAATAACAGTGCGAATAGCGCTCTGCATCATAACAAAATGCAGCAAATGACAGAGATTGAAACAATTCTATAAGAAGGAACTAGTTTCGAATAACAGACCGAACGAAATGAATATATATTACAAGTTTAAAGAAACAAAAAATATTTATTGCTCGGGTATATTACACGAAACTGAGTTCATAAAGAAAAATAACTATTATTTTCAGGTACCACGACTCTCCCTCCTTCCTGATACCCATAGACGTCGTAAATACCCTCGGGTACTCCAGAATGCTCGGGCTGGAAGGAGCTGTGGTCTGGGGTTCGAAACGTGACGTCGATACAAAAGAAAAATGTCTCGCCATGAAGGTAAGAACGTATTTTTGTTTTGTTTGTTGGTGTGTTTTGCTTCCAACTCGTGCTGTTTTCCTTTTTTTCCAATTCATGTTTTGTTTATATCTTTTGTTTTGGTTTACGGGTTGAAAGTCTCTTCCTTTTGGCCAAAGGGAGGTGCCTTTCTTATCTGCCAGACTAAACAGTTTGTTCAGTCGAGGAACGGGATTTTAGCACTGATGTGGGATTAGAAGGCCCTGGGTTGGGTCTTTATTGGGTATTTTCTCCTCTTCTTCTCTCTCTCTCTCTCTCTCTCTCTCTCTCTCTCTCTCTCTCTTCTTTCTCTTCTTCTCTCTCTCTCTCTCTCTCTCTCTCTCTCTCTCTCTCTCTCTCTCTCTCCTCTCTCTCTCTCTCTCTCTCTCTCTCTCTCCTCTCTCTCTCTCTCCCCTCTCTCTCTCTCTCTCTCTCTCTCTCACTTTGTCTCGCTTTATCTTTCTCTTATTTTATATCTCCTCCCCTTCTTACTTCCTACTTCCTCCCTCTCGCCTAACCTCTCTCTCTCTCTACACATCTCTCTCCATCCCATTCTCTATCAGTCCCCCTCTTCATTCCTCCCTATCACCCTCCCTTCTCCTTCCCTCCCCCCTTCTTCCTTCCTCTCCTTCTTCCTTCCCCTCCCCCTCCCTTCTTCCTTCCTCCCCCCTCCCTCTCCTTCCCTCCCCCCTCCCTTCTTCCTCCCTCTCCCCTCCCTCTTCTCCCTCTCCCCTCCCTTCTTCCTTCCCTCCCCCTCCCTTCTTCCTTCCCTCTCCCCCCTCCCTTCTTCCTCCTCTCCCCCTTCCCTTCTTCCGTCCCTCTCCCTCCCTTCTTCTCTCCCCCTCCCTTCTTCCTTCCCTCTCCCCTCCTTCTTCCTTCCCTCTCCCCCTCCCTTCTTCCTTCCCTCCCCCCCCCCTTCTTCCTTCCCTCTCCCCCCTCCCTTCTTCCTCCCTCTCCCCTCCCTTCTTCCGTCCCTCTCCCCCTCCCTTCTTCCTTCCCTCTCCCCCTCCCTTCTTCCGTCCCTCTCCCCACACGCCCCTTTCTCTTCCAAACCAGCGAACTCCAGAGCCGTCCCTTTCCTTCCCCAGAACTACGTGGAGACCGGCTTGGGTCCCCTGGTTCAGTACCTAAGCGACCTGCCTCTTTCGACCGTGCGCTCCGTGATCAACTCCCGGCGTTTCCTGAAGAAGTTGGCGTCCACGGCTCTGAGGGAAGGGCGGAGGAAGAGGAAGAAGAACCGTGGCCAAGGCGTTGTTTAAAAAAAAGGTGTTGAGAGAGAGAGAGGGAGAGAGAAAGAGAAAGGGAAAGAGAGAGTGGGAGAGAGAGGAAATAAAAGAACGAGTTCGTTTTTTTTTCGTTTGGTAAATTTTCGTGTAATTTTGTTGTTATTGATCTGATAAAGTGAGTTACAATACGTGTGTGATTCGTTCGATTCATTCATTATGTTAATGATTCTCATGTTTTCCCGATGTACTGGATATATTAATAGTATATTGATTTTAATGCAAAGTATAATTTTTCTAGGTACAATGTCGAACTTAAATGAATTACCAAACAAGTATCATTTTATCGTTTCTTTATCCGAGATAAAATGGAATAAAAAGTAAAAAAAAAACAAAGGATTCGACATGATACATAAACAACTTTAATAAGTGTAATTTAATCAAAGTATAATGTAAAATACAAACAATACTATGAGGAGTTCTTGTCTATTGAGAGGACAGTAAAAATATGCAAGGGAGAAGCATATTTTCTAGTCTTTTGTCTGATTTCAGCAAATTTATGATATGCAAATCCTTTCTTTGTGATTTAGGAAGTAGAGTTATTAAGAAATAGAAAAAAACACCAACTATACACATTTTTTTTTTTTACCGAGCTAGCTATTTGTTAATAGAATTTTTTTTTTTTTTTTTTTTTTTTTTTTTTTTTTTTTACCGAGCTAGCTATTTGTTAATAGAATTGTGTATTCGCATTATACTGTACAAGAACGGAGACTATCGGCCTTTTTGTTAAAATTATGCCAGGCCCGACCCAATGACCTTTCATAAACACAGACGCAGAATTAAAGGCATATCTGTCTATATATCTAATATACACTTAACCATCTAATTTGCCGGGTTGATATGCACATCCAGCCTGATAAATATACATTTATTTCTTTATTTAAGCATGTCACGTATCCGAATATGCTATGGATCGGGCCTCGCACAATTCTAACAAACCGGCATTATAAGCATATTTAAGCAAGACCTCTCAGGTGCCAGTCCAGAGTCCGGATAAGTGGTGAGACTAAGAGGCAAGAAGGGCATTCGGGCATAAAAAAAAATAATTCGCGTGGATTATGGATGGGAAATATGAAGAGATGAAAGGTAAGAAGAGAAAGAAAGAGAAAAGAAGGTGGAGATGGATTAGAAGGGGAAAAAATGGTGAAGGACTAGAAAAAGGAAGAAAAGAAGGAAATTGAAGGGAAAAAAGGGAAATGAAAGAAAAGAAAAGAAAGAACAAAAAAAAGAAAACAATAATAGTCAACGATATGAAAAGATGAAAGGAAAGAAGAGAAAAGAAGGTGGAGATAGATAAGAAAGGGAAAAAATGGTGAAAGAAATAGAAAAAAAGGAGAAAAGAAGAAAATTGAAGGGAAAAAGGGAAATGAAAGAAAAGAAAAGAACAAAAAAAAAAGAAAAATAATAGTCCACGATATGAAGAGATGAAAGGAAAGAAGAGAAAGAAAGAGGTGAAGATGGATAAGAGAGGGAAAAAATGGTGAAAGAAATAGAAAAAGGAAGAAAAGAAAATTGAAGGGAAAAAGGGAAATAAAAGAAAAGAAAAGAAATAAAATAAAATAGAAAAACAATAATAGTCAACGGTATGAAAAGATGAAAGAAAAGAAGAGAAAGAAAGAAAAGAAGGTGGAGATGGAAAAGAAGAAAAAAATTGTGAAAGAAATAGAAAAAGGAAGAAACGAAGAAAATTTAAGGGAAAAAGGGAAATGAAAGAAAAGAAAAGAAAGAAAATAAAATAGAAAACAATAATAGTCAACGATATGAAAAGATGAGAGGAAAGAAGAGAAAGAAAGAGAAAAGGTGAAGATGGATAAGAAAGGGAAAAAATGGTGAAAGAAATAGAAAAAGGAAGAAAAGAAGAAAATTGAAGGGAAGAAAGGGAATTGAAAGAAAAGAAAAGAAAGAAAAAAAAAGAATAACAATAATAGTCAACGATATGAAAAGATGAGAGGAAAGAAGAGAAAGAAAGAGAAATGGTGGAGATGGAAAAGAAAGGGGGAAAATGGTGAAAGAAATAGAAAAAAAAGAAAATTGAAGGAAAAAAACGAAAAGAAAAAAAAAATTGTCAACGATCAAACCCAAACAAAGACCACCAAGTACTTACCGTCTGGATCAGCGCCTCCACAAAAGAAAAAAAAATGAAAGGAAGAAAGGAAAATGCGAAAAAAACGAAACGAAAAGAATCGGTCAAGAATAGTCAAAAAAAAAAAAAAAAAAAAAAAAATAGCCAGCGACCAAACCACAAGCAAAGCCCGCCACATACCGTCTGGATCAGCGCCTCCATGGACAGCATCCTCTCCTCCATCTTGGCCAGCTGGTGGGCGATCGTCTGCATGTTCTTCTCCGTGAGGGCGTGGTCGGAGCTGAGGGCGTTGAGGGTCTTGGTGGAGAAGTCGGCGACCTGAGCTTCACGGGCCTCATGTCGGGTCAGCTTGTTCTGCGCCGCTTTGATGCTCTTGTCCAGGGTCAGGATAGCGTCTCTGATGTCCAGGTGGCTGTGGGCGGGAGCAGAGGGGCGCGGGCGGTTAGAGGTGGGTGGAGCGAGGGTGAAGGGCGGGGGGGGGGGGCAGACTGAGGGGGGAAGATGGGTTGGGAAGCTGTGTTTTTGTCTTTGGCTTTGGATTTCTCTTTCTTTCTTATTCTCATTCG